TTTTGAAGACGAATGCTATATAGGTTTAAGAAATACGCAACAGATCGTTTGGTGCAAACGAGGAGAACCAACACCGAAGAAGACAATTTCATCTTTACGAGCTCATATTAATTTAATTGGTTTCATTTGGTGGGATGGTTATATCTTTTATCGATTTGATCAATGGTTAAATAGTGATTCATATTGTGAAACAGTTGATCTACTTTTATCTGAACATTTACCACAGTTAAATGGATACTTATATGTTTCTGATGGTATTAAATGGCACAGAAGTGCTCAGTTTAAACAATGGTGCCATCAATACGATATTGAATTATGTGAATGGCCAGGTTATAGCCCCGATTTCAATGCAATCGAGCTGGTCTGGAATATTGTCAAGCAAAACGTTAAGATGAAAAATCCAAAATCACAGGGAGAACTCGAGGGTGCTGTCGATGAAGCTATAGATGAATTATCATTGAATTTTATTCAAGCATGCATCGGAAAGACTCAGAAAATATATCAACAATTTGTATCTTCATATTAAACTTTTTTGTGTAATAAACACTTTTAATCGTGCTATTCAAATATAACCCAGAAAACTTTATCTGATCTTGAAATTTATATTTTAGATAGAAATGTGAAGTGTCGCGTTAATTTTGTCTCCGGTAGTTTCATATATTTATGATAACTAACATCGATTAAGTAAACGTTTCATAGAACGCAAGATTATATGCGTTTTAATATTCTTGAGATTTATATTCCCTTTTTCCGAAACTAATTCGAATTATTTAATGAACAAAATCATTTGTATTCTATACACGATCAAAAATATGTAATAAACTTTCTCAAAGTTCTCTTTATTGAAACAAATTCTAACAAAACAAATACTATTTAGAATAAAAGAAAATATTGATGACAATGTTTTGGACGAATAAACGGTTCATTTGAATCAATACTTTACAAGTTAATACAGTTGCGACGTGCTTCGCAGTATATAGTAAGTTTGATCAAACGAGGCAAATGAGTATTTTTCTCGAAGAGAAACTGCTCAGCATAATTCACATGTGATATATGCAGGTTGAATGCGATAAGATGAAGAAATACAATCAATGCAACTGAATGTTATTTACTGTTTTGTGGACACGTTTTAACTATATGTAAATTTTCAAGGAATGAAAAATCTTGTAATACTAGTTTAAATAATTCATGTTCAAATGGACTTGTATAGTTCATTACTGAGCATTGAACTTTATTAAAGGCACCACCTCGAAAAAAATTATTAAGATTAATAAAAATTTCAAATTGATATAGAAATGAATAGACATGACATCTGATTATGCACTCCGTTGAATTATAATCGGCATCGAAACCAACTTGATTATAACCTCTTTTGGTGAAACTAAATTAAATGTCATCATTTAATGGGTGTGGGTGTGGGGTGTGAGTGTGGATGTGGGTGTGAGTGTGGGTGTGAGTGTGGGTGTGGGTGTGGGTGTAGGTGTGGGTGTGGGTGTGGGTGTGGGTGTGGATGTGGATGTGGATGTGGGTGTGTTTAAATAAAGCATTAACATTCATATTGACTCACCCCCACACGCCCACACCAGCACACCCACACCCACACCCGAAATGTAAATTAACAATTGAGCCAAGTTGCAAAATGGGTCCAAAGTGTTGTGCTCAACATGTCCCTCGAAAATGCATCCGATTGGTCCATTGCTGACCACTCAGATTTTAGCACATGTTGATGCGCCTGGATCTTCTCTTTCTAATGGTGAAAACTGCAGCTCACTACCTTGCTCCTATCAGAAGTTATTCGAAAAATACCCATCAGTCTTTTTTTGGTAAAATCATTGTTTTTGTATTATCCTCGAAGCGTATATTGATATGTTAACATGTGAACAGATTCTAGACGAATATTGTCTAACATAGGCTTTCCAATATTCTGAGTTATTGATGACTTTGAATGACTTTCGCTATCTCAATGATCTAAATGATCTAAGTGATCTAAATGACTTTAAAGTCATAAAAGTCAGTTATTTCCCCTTTGCAATAACCACTATTATTCGTGCGACGAAATAATGGACAACCAAAAATATCTTAAAACAATGCATTTGTGAATGAATATACAACCTTAAGTTTTTTCAAGAAAAAAAATGTGACGAATCGTCTGTTTCTGCTGAACCTGTTTCTTGCTATCAATATGTTATTTTCACTTATATTTATATTTCTTTAGAAATTAGATTTTTTTTTCTTTATTAGTAAAACTTGGGTCTGACGCTTGTTGACTTTAACTGTATTAATAAATAAATATCGATTGTGTAAAGATATGCTTGATTTCTATGCCTTGGTCTTATTTCTATTGTTTTAGAGTTTATCACAAATTCCATGCAATAAAGGTACAAACGCAAATACAGTTCTTGTTACAAAATATTTATGTCAAACGTGCAACCGTACAAGTTGCAAGTATATTACGACAAAAGTTTTTTCGTATTCATAAAGAATTCTTTCTTAGATTTTTATCAGCAAGTAAAAGTTTTCATATTGATCTTTGGTCAACTGATGATCTGGCTGATTTATTCTTAGATATTAACAGTAAAGGACAACTTGTGGATATTTTATCAGATTTAAAAAGCTCTTTTTAATTTATATCAATATCAAGGTTCACATATTTTATGGTCTATAATAAGAATATTTGTTAATTTAACATATAATATTCGAAAACTGAATAAAAAAAAATGTCTGACTTAGTTGCTTATGCATAAGAGTATATACTAAAAGGATATTCAAAAGTAGAAAACGAGATATTTGATCGAATATAATTTGATTCCATATGGGATGAAAAAAAAGCAATTTTTGATCAACATCAAAAGCACAAAAGTGAAAATTGTCAAGAACGATTACATCAATATGAAAAAAATGAAGATTATATTAAATTCGAACTTATTTTAGAGCATTTCTTGGACTTTATAAAAATAAAAAATATTGTCGATCAAATGTTGCTGGGGTTGAAGTGAAAATGTGTAACAGAGATTTGTTTCTTTGATATTTCAGTTCTCTTTTCAGGCATATTTCCATTTGATTTGAAAACAACACCTGTTGATATGACAAAAGCAACTCAAGCATTAGCTAAAATTGCTATGATAACGAATCTGGAATTCGATTTTCCTGATAATATGTATGAAAATTAATATTATCCATATTCATCTAAAGTATAAGCTTATCTGTTTTCCGGTACTTGAACTTATTCGACCAATTATTAAATTTTTAAAAGTTGAACATACAACTTTAGAAAATTTTGAAGTATAAACAACTTTAACTAATTTAATTAGTATTGGTGAAAATGTTAGAAAGTGTATTTTAAAACAAGGCACGCGCAGTATAATTGTTCAAGAAGAAGTAAAATAATTAATAATGATTTGCATTTGGTATAGATTTTGATTAGATTGCAAAATTATTTTTTTCTGGAGAAAATGATCGAATGAAATTATTAGTATTATTATATGGTTAAGAAGATGTATTATTAATAAGAGCAGTTTTAGAAACATTAGCTATTTTATCATCATTACAAATTGATGTTGAATATATAAGAGATTTAAATCTAGAAGCTGAAGAACGTAAACGATTACATCACTGAATTGAAGAAAGTCAAATTATATGTAAAAAAGTTTGACGTTTATATTTTTATGGAAGTTATGAAAAATAATTTTATTATTTTTTAGGTGAAATCATTTAGAGAAATTTTCAATCAATTATGTGTTTGTAACAATACTGATTGACAATTTCGGATTTTGTATATAATTCGTAATATGATGAAAATTAATTAAGAGTTTGCAATACATATTGTTGAAATGAAATTAATGTATATACTATTTGCTATTTATATATTTTGTTTATTTATATTAAAAGAATAAATACTCAACTAAAAACAATAGAAATTTGTTTTTGTATCAATTTTGCTTTAATAAAAATTGAAATATCGATCAATTCATATTCCAACTTTATCAGAATTAGGTGTTACCTTGTACAATAGATAATTTCGTTTATTATGAAGATATTCAATTAAACTCAATAAAATATCGTGTGGGTGTGGGTGTGAGTGTACTTCTTCTCTTCATGCTCACACCCCACAGTCATACCCCACATCTGCACTCACACTCTATTGTTTTGAGGAAATCAAAAGAATCTGTCGAGAGGCCAAGCTTATCGATGAGAGACAACAGCGTTCTAAGATTCAGAATGACCTTATGTGTATATTTCGAAACAGTGCTTTTTCAGCAAAAGAAAAGCGAAACCATGGGGTGAATGCTATTTTCATATAGGTTGAGTTAGAGAAGGCAAGTGGTTAGTTGATTCAAGCACAATATAAACAGATGGAGAAGCGAAATTAAATAAAATAATCCGGCGTCCTTTGGATTACGTGGAGCTCACCACGTGTAGGAGCTGAGTCGAATTGAAGCAAGGAATATTTCAATGAATCATCAAGTTCCATGATTGCTGCTTGATTTCCACAACGATAGCAGTAGTTCGGTGCAGAGAAGATGCTGATAACATTCTTTTCATGAAACCAATAGTAACCTAAACTAATCGTCAATGATCCAGATTGCTCGAAATCATTCTAAAACTTACCTTCCATGACTAATTGATGAGCTCGACAGATTAAATGTAGACCGTTGGTGTAGTTGAAACTTTCCGATATGTCTTGACCGAAAGTATAGCCTGCACGTCGCTGTGAGACACCCCAACCTTTGCGATCGTCTGGATCTGACCTAGAGGGCAATCAAGGAATTCGTTTATCGTATATCACAGCAATAACTGACCAGAGTAGATCACACATAGGACCTTCGCATGGTACTTCTTGTACCCTATCTAAATCTCGAATGTGATCTAAAGTGTCGATGGATGGACTAAGACCACCATGCAAGCAAAAAACTTGATCTTCGACAATGGCTGTCAGAGGAAGATAATCGAAGAGATCAGTGAAATATCTCCATACATTGGCAACGCCATATTTTCTCAGACATTCATCATAGAATCCATAGACTTGGGTTGTTTGTCGAGATTCATGGTTACCACGAAGAATGGTGATACGATCTTTGTGTCGCACTTTCAATGCAACAAGTAATGTGATTGTTTCAACAGAATGATAGCCTCGATCGACGTAATCTCCCATAAACAAATAGTTAGTATTGGGTAAATCACCACCAATTGTGAACAATTCCATCAGATCATGAAATTGACCCTAGAACGATCATCTACTTAGAGAAGACAATAACGCAACGATATGTTTCTTACATGACATTCCCCACAAATGGTTACTGGACAATGTACTTCTTGTACATTAGATTCTTTGGAAAGGATATCTTTAGCTCGATCACAAAGAAGTTTGACATGACTCTCTTGTAATTTTTTACTCTTTTTCAGTTGCTCAATCCATGAATCCAGTTCTTTCGATGAAACAGTTGTCTCTTCTGTCATTCTTTGTCGATGAAGTTTACCTGAAAGGTGCAGGATAATTCTCGTTAGTGAACACCAGTCGCAAGAATAACTGTCAAAATGAATAGCTCGATGAAGAACACGGTTATATATATAACTGGTGGAGAGTATTCACAATTACCTAGTTGACTTTGACTCTTCAGAGGAAAGAAGATGAGTGAATAAAAAAAGCAAATAAACACTGATATACATGCACACACCGATGAAGAATGCAACCGTTAGCTATTTTGGTTGCGGCTGGCAGTCACCTATGCACTACGTGATGACTGATACAGATAAACTGAAAATTTTACAAGATGTTGGTAGAATTATTTTGTACTCATTGCTATAGAAATTGTTTCTTGTCCTTTCTCAGAGACCTAGAGACTGCCCAAGCTTATGCACAGAAAAACATTTATCAGTAGTGGGAAGTAGATTTTCGTATTTTTGAGAAACAGGGATTTGTTGCGAGATCACTTATGTATTAAACCTTTCTATTACAATAAGTTGAAGAAGACAAATACGTTTCAATGAACTACGAGAGAAATAGAATAAATTCTGTTGCAATTCGAGAGACACTTCTATTTTGATTCTCTGTAGTTGAGCAACAAGAGATGGTCAATCTCTGTTCATAACGATGGGTTGCGTCGATTAACAACGCCGAATTCCACATGGCTATCCGGGACAGTACGAACAAGCAAGTTCATCGCATCTGTTATCAATTTTTATAAGAGAGAAAACCATGATTTTAAGAGTTAAGTATATCGACATGGTGTTCACCATCTTTACATTCTGCTGCAATTAATGATGGTGTCACGTATGCCACAACCAATGAAAAACACTACATTAGATGCATACACAGATCACGACATATTTCCGATACAAAATTAATGTAAAATAGAGAATGAATTCAGTTCTATTATTTAGATCTATCCAATACGAGAAGACAATTCTCAAAAGAGATTTGAGACTATCAGTTATCCAATGGCTGATCGAAATTTTATCGATCTGACTAATTTTGAGATTCAACAGCTGATCAATTTCTGCTGAGTTTATCTATCAATTCATGCGATCGATGAAGACAATTTCGATTCAGAATTGTAATCCTGCGAAAAATAATCTCCACTCTTGATTGATCCTGATGTCGATGCTGCTGATTCAAAAAAGCACGATATCCATCAGATACCCAAGACATGTACCGATTTTTCTGAGCATCGACAGGCAAGAGCGTTCGAAAAAAGATCGGTATGCCGCCGACGAACGTTGCAGTGTTTGATAGATCCTTAGCGATTCGACATTGAATGACGGCTTTCAGATCATCGCTGTTGAGTGATTCCTCCTTTTTTGTTTCTTCGCAATAACAAGAATCTTCATTGCGAACAATTCGTTCTAGCTTAGTCTCAACATCGCTTGGCAACTATCCAGCAAGACCACGCAATCCATTCCACGTCACGGAGAAGATGGCGCCGAACGCATCCATCACACTCTAGGTACGCGGTCCAGACATTAGATATTCTACATCGTTTTTCAAATGATTGATACTCATTTCTTTCTTGATGGTTACATGATTTATTGTGTTGCGATTTCAACTAGTGATATTGATCTTTCGCCTTGCGTCGATGATCAAATTCCATCTGCAACGAATCATTATAGGGTGAATAGTTCGTTCAATATCTTGTATTTTCTATCTGTTTCTCATCTATCAGATTTAATGACGATTTCCAACAACTACAAATGACAGTCAGCATGTAAAAAGGAGAACTCTTAGTTTTCGGACGGCAAGCTAAATGTACGATAAAAATATTTCTAAAAGTTGTTTTGAAAAAAATATTTACAGACAATGTGACCTATTAGTTTATTGAACAAAATACGATGTCAGTCTTCAATACTGAAGTCTATTTGATGAAACTATTAGTAAATGTAATCATTAGGATTTGTTCTCGTCTCGCATTGAACTGCGAAGTGTTCGGATTCGGCATCTGAACTGAGGTTGTGATCGTTCTATTTTTTCTGCTATCAAACATCTTTCATCTCTCGATTCACACGTCTAGTTTTCACTGTAAATCGTCTAGAATAGATTCACTCGCATCGTTTCATCTTCTCATGGCACAAAAAGCTACCTTTCGACCATCGAAGATTTAATTCATAGCACACACATTTTTCGAACAACTTTTCGCTTGGTCTCTCGTTCTTCGACATCATCATGAATATTTATCTCAAATGATGATAGACCATAGTGAGAACGAGGTATCAAATCGACAGGAATATATAGTCGCTTGAATTCAAGTAAAAAGAAAACAGGCTTCGTAAAGTATTTAGAAGAACGGCGACATCTTGGTGAAAAGGGACGTGGCCAAAACATGTCGAAGAAATTTCAAAGTATGCCTTAGCACTCTTGTTTGTTTCTCTCGACAATACTGCTTCGAGTATTTTCTTCAATATAACCATCGAAAATGCCGCAGCAAGATCATCAACACTTCACCTTAATATTGACTTTGTGGTGTTTCTTGAAAGTTGGAAAAAACCCACCGCTCACAATCAACACAATACTTCGTTCTCCATTTGCTTATCGAACTTTTTCTGCGCAAATGAAAGCAGCCTTTCAAGTGTCCCCTGTGCAAATGGATTGCCTTTTCAGCGAAAAAGAATGAAGAGAAAGTATGCACAGCAAGCAACCTTTGTTGGGTCTCTACGGATGATTCATGCGATGCAAAGAGCACGCGTCACCTTTGCCAAAAGATAAGAAGCAAACCCATCGTGTTTATTTCAGTGTAGCCCAAATGAGAGACTATCAAGGAATGACGGTGTAAGTGTCACACGAAAGAAGAAAGACGAAATAGTACTCGGCACTAATTTGAGCAATAATCAGATTGAGCAGAGCCGATGTATTTTGAAAATCTCTCATTGTTACTTAGTAGTCGATGGTTCAATGTCGATAGCACAATACCCTTCTAGAAATCTTTTTCAAAAGAAGCTAATACTGGAGAGCGAAAAAGAAACATCTTCACCAATTTTCATGTAATTGGAACATTCTGGAAACCTCGATCAGTGATAGGAGTCAATGCTTACATATGACTGCCACTGGGGAACGTTAGGCAATTGTCTAATGACTGGAAACACGAAGCTTCGCATAAATGGTAAAAATATTTTTGCACATTACGAGCTTTTGTTTTTTTAGAATATCTTTCAAATATCAGGGACCATTTATGCCAGATTCCGACCTTCTGCCTTCGACGACCATAGTAACGTCAGTAAAACGTTCGGATATGCTTCATATTTCTTCGGTGGAAAAGCTTTCCAAAGTAACTATTTTAGATGTTTTTTAAGCTTGTTTTGTATTTTTTTCGTTGGTCTGTTTTAAAAAATTGTTAATTTCAGCTGAACATTTAATAGGGCAATAGATTAAA